ATATATACAGCCTTTTGCAAAAATTATGAGAATTGTCTAAATATCTAAATATCATAATATCCATATCCATATATTGTCCGGAACACGCGGGTTTGCTAGAATAATTCATTGTTGACATGAGAAAATGTTCAGAACTACGGATAAGTCTGTCGCCAAAAAAAAAACTTAACTACAAAGACAAGGGACTGAGGGCATCGCGCGGGATTACCCATCATGCACTCGATATTATGATATTTAGATATTCCGACAATTCTCATAATTTTTGCAAAAGGCTGTAACAATTATAATTACAGTATATTAATATTTAGTATTACCATACTAGTGCATTATTGCAAATCCTTTGTTCTGATTGGCTACTCTATTCGGGGTCTATTTTCAATAGTCCTCGACTAGCTGACAAGCGAAAAGCGACAACTTTTTTCGTATTTTTAGCAAAAAAACATTTAGTTATTTATATATTTCATTGATTTTTTGTATTCATTTTTTGTCCAACTAGTATGGTAATACTATTAGATAACTCGGCCTCGTGGACTACGAGCTCAGTGATAGTCCTCRGCTCGTAGTCCACTCGCCCTCGAGATCTAATTGTTAAATATTTAACAATTAGACCTCGAGGTCGAGTGCCTACGAGCTAATAGCCCATGATGCCGAGTCCGCGAGGACGAATGGGCTATTAGCTCGTAGTCCACGAGGCCGAGAGGTCTAATTGTTTTAGTATAAACATACTAATCGGTCAAATAATGAAAACATTGAAATATCCTTAWAATAATTTATTAATGAGATTGATTTTCCCGCAAGTGGTCTATCATGAATTAGACCATTAGTAGAGTAGCCAATCACAGCGCAGTATGAGTGATAGACCATTAATATGTTTTTCTAGAATTCATTAATAATTCATGAGCTATTAGTCCAATCAGAATCCAACTATTGGGTCACATGATGGACCTTTATATCCCGATAAAGCACTGATGTTTTATTAATCAGTTCTATATCAGATATAAAGAACTGATGTTGAAGGTCATTAGCGCTTTATCGCAACCCAACACTAGCAAAGGTCTCAGTTTTAATGTCGCATCATAGACCTTTGCTAGGTTTTAACCAGTTTGAATCAATGTGCAGATATGAACTATAGCATAGACTAGCCGTTCTTACGTGTGGGATCAAAATTCTTTCATTTGTGACAAATAAACATGCTCAGTAGAAGTTTAACATGCATAATCTCTGTTTTCGCATTTTTTAGCTTTTTTCTAAAATGATAACAATTTCTGGATGTTTGGAGTTCTAGAAGTAGTATAAAAAACTCGCAGTCGTGCTTTATCCTCGTGTCTATATCTCCCGATAAAGCAYCGTGAGGCCGTAAGGTACTGGGTTTCTTCAAGCTTATGGGTCAGGCCTTGCGGTATGATAAAAGAACAATTGACCAATCAGAATATTGTCGGTCTTTTAACAAGTATTTTTAAGCCAGGAGGAAAAAATAACTGAACAAAAAATTAAACGGGGCCTTGACCGTGAGCCATACACTGGAAAAGGTCGGAAATGGTAACTTAGAGACACAGTATTTCTGAATGACTTTTGCAGGGGATACAAATTGTTGACCGATGAAGGTAAGATATTGACATTATAGYACGCCACACACAATTTAATATCCCATTAGTTCATGTTTTACCATGGCGCATTTATCACAGATCATTAGTTTAAAATACTGAATTTCAAAATTATACACCGACCATATCTGAATTTTTCAARATAATCTCAAGAATAGAAATGAATGAAAAACMATGAATAAAAAAAGCATGCAAACTGATTTTTTTTGCATCCAGTTAAATTTCCGGTCATAATTAGAGGACGCTACTTGAAATACGGTACGATTTTGCCTGCTGGAATAATGTATGGTTTTTCCTTTTAACTATTTATTATCCTGCTATTCCAAACGAATAGAGTGTTTCTCATTAACCCGTGAAACACACTTTAGCGTATTTATCGGTATTACACTTTGCCTCTTTTGTTTTTTATTGAGGCGACTTACGATCTATTGAACTTTTATTTTTATTTTCTAATTATTACACTTTGTTTCACGGGTTTATAAACCACTCCACGTTAACACGCTTTGATATAATAATATATATGTATAAAACATTCTAGAGCAAACCTTCGCGGGGTACCACTGTAAAAAAAAAATCATATATCCTTGCTTCGTTAAATAATATCTAAGCATATTATATATCATTTTGATGCTAACACAATAATGTAAACTTCTTTGACATTGGTTTGCAATAATGTTAATAAGTATTTTTTTTAATGAAAATTACATATTAATAATCAAAAATCAAGTCCAAATCGCAAAAAGTTATTTTTTCTTCAACATAATTTTACAGTATATTGGTCACTATATATCAAAGTTAAAAATCGTGGGAGCGTTCTTTTTCGATATTTTTATACCCCTGCCTCACCGYTAGTTTCAGTTTTCACTTACCGACGATAAAGAAAACACTAAGCTTATCTATAGAATTATCCCGGTATTTCAGAGAGCAACGATTTATCGGAAGTTCAAGAATAAAGGCAAAAAAATATGTAAGATATTTTTGTAATGTCGTCTGTGATGTGAAGTTCGAACATCGATCTTTTGCCGCGTTTAGTTTGATTGATTATAATGCACCAGTCAATGTAAACCCACGTACCCCCGGCCGGGACATAGCTGGGCATTAGCGGGGAATTTTCAGTTATTTAAGACTACGGCTATCGGCAGAGACCGCGGAGCAGGGGGGGTTGGGAGGCTATAGCCCCCAATAATTTTTCCGTCATTCTGAATTTTCTTAAATAAAGAAGCRAAGGGCCTATTAAATCAATCATTACTACCAGTCATTAAGCTGAAAAAAATATATTCCACTGAAAATTCTCATATAACGTAACMTGGACACGTTGTGTTCCACGAAGCGGTTTTAGTTTTCTCGTAAGGTTGTGCTTTAGTAACAAACTCTTTCTGTTTTTCCTTTCAGCTAGCATTCGGCACGCCTGCAAAGTAAGCCTAATCAATACTTTGGTGAGAACATTGAACATAGTGATAGCTGATATACAGCTAGCTTCAATCAGAKTCATTCTTTGGGGTCGATGCAAACATGGCGGAGATTAATCCATTYCTTGTAATCGCTATTGTCGTGATAGTGTCACTTTTCTTCATTCTAACTCTTCTCATCTGCATTTTCCAAAAATACTGCAGAACAACCTTCAATGCCTCAGACATCGAAGAAAATACTAACTTGCACTTGGATGGAAACCGCAGCGAGTCAGTACAACTACACCAAAATATACAGATCCAGATTTCATCAATGAACGAGCAGCCAAGCARTARCARACTTCAGCTACCTTCAACCAACAGCTTTTTGCTTCCAGAGCAACCTTCTTTAGAACGACGACATTACTTCCTGTCACAAARCTCCTTAACGAGTACCCGGTCAGGATCAATGGGAGTGGTGAAGAACGACTCACCAACAACAAGCCACAGAAAAATGGTACGCTTTGGAAGAAAGACGTCTGGTCCATATGGATGTCAAACTAGCACATCAAACAAGAAGTTAACTTTTGATTACAAGKCTTATAATGAACGTCACGTGCATTCAAAACCTTTAAAACCGATCTTGAAATCACCAATGATTCATAGATTCGATCGTTCTCGAGCCGGTTTTGCTCCTGTGGCTCATCCTGGATTGAGGGTTTGTAGAATCATGACCAAAGGGTCAGAAACCATAGTATAAAACACGCTTCTCATTATCACAATAACTAACAGAAAAAAAACCGCTGAATGTTCTATAGGACTATAAAGCACATTGAAACCCCCTCCGCCCTCGCCTCGCCTTTCAGTGGTTTTGCATTTGTTT